CAGTCTGTTTATGTTGTGTGTAGACAGCTTTATCGCCCTCTGTGACCGTGTCTGTGTGTGTGTGGAAGAAAGCTGAATGAATGCCAGTGTGAATGTTTACTCTGGACATTGTGCAGGAGTGTGTGGAAAGGCTTAACAGTGGAGAAAGGCCAGTGCGGGGCAGCGTGTGGATGTACACGGCGTAAATCGGGTCAGACGGGGGTTAAGCCAGGCCAGATTACCTGCTACCTTTAACAGCAGGCTTTAGATTGCTATACACACATATACACATAGTGCTGCACAAATACAGTGCACTCTCGTAGTCACATGAACGCATGCACACTTTGTAGAAGTCTTTGTTGTTTGTGTGTAGTGTTGCTCTCGGAACAAAAAATATTCTTAACTTTTAATGGAAGTTAACCCCTTAAAAGGCCAGCGGGCCCAAAGTTTTATTATACACTTCTATAACCTAAGAATAGCTCAGCCAGTTTGCAGTGAAGTCCCTGTAGTTACTCAAAAATAAGCCTTAGTATGTAATAAGCCTGGGATTTTAAGGGGTTAATATAAAAAGGTTTAATCCAAGTAATTTAGGACATTCTTTATTGGTCTTCTCGTCTTGAAATGCTTGTTTGTTGTAAAGGGCAGCTGCTATTTTCAAATTATGCGAGAAAAATGTCTTGACACTTTCAGAAAAAAGGTACCACTGATGGTACCCCCTCATGTCACTAGTAGGTATGTCTTCAGTACCATTAGTTAGGGAACATAACTGCACCATATCCCACTGTAATTGTATAGATTTTCTTTAGTTACAATGACTCCACACACTTTGTCTTGACACATTTTATTTTCCTATTAAACAAACAAAAAAGGTTTTGTAAAGGTAAAAATACATACCTCTTCACTGAGAAAAAACATATTTAAGTTATACAGTTGGACCTTAAAACCATTGTTGTACCTCTGAGAGTACGTTTACACTGGTTGAATCTTGATGAACTAAAATGTACCTGTACAGTATCTTTTTTTCTGACACTGTATACTGCATATATTATTAGCACATTAAGAAAAAGAGACCTAATAATAAATGCTTTTTTATTAGGAAAAAGAGCAAATAATGTTTTTTTTATTCTTCCATCCACAAGCTTACCAGAATTTGAACTACACTGCTAGAAATAAAGGTGCTGTGCAGGTACATTTTTCGTTCATCAAGGTACAAACAATGTAAATGTACAGTGCTTTTAAGGTCCAATTGTGCACCTTAAATATGTTTTTCCAGGTGAAAAGTACCTTTTCATTACCTAATGTTTTAAAACAGAACAATAAAATAAAAAGCCTGGAGACGAGACGGGGTGTGTGGAGTCAGTACAGCTTGGAAAAATATAATTTCAGTGGATTATGGCACAAATATGTTTGCTGACTAAAGGTACTGAGATGCACCCTTGAGGGTACCACCTCAGTGACAAGATGGGTACTGCCCCAGTGACAGTCTCATACCCTTTTTTTCTGAGAGTGTAGCTTAATTTTTATGTCTTACTTTCAAGCTCCCAAATGTGTTTGGATCAACATCATGTCTCGTGATTTCATTCAAAGTATAATTTTATGCGTTCTGTCCAGCACCTCAAGAACTGACTGTCAAAAAGTGCATTTACTACACCAATGACAGAATCATTATGGGATTTCATCGATTATTTGGTTATTACATTGGCTTAGCAATGGCAAATAACTGTTTTCCATTTTATTATTCTATGCTTTTTGTACTGTTTTGACAGGTTGCAGTTTTTGAGCTAGAAGCACAAAATTTGGCAGGATCGTAGAGCCTGGGGAATAGTGCGCCTGTGCTTTTGTGATCGATTGCATGAACAGTTTTTAAACAGCATTCGTTCAAACATTTTTTCCCCTCGATAGGAAATGCATGCTGGAATGTTGAGAAAATTAAAACATATCTGCCAGAGATAATCACAAAGGGCATCTCTCACATTGTTCCTCATAGACATTATATACAGACTCACATACATACTAGTATGTTTATATACCATAGCAACGGCCTAGCAACACCTTAGCAACCACCTGGGACACCATTCTTCCATAAATTGTTATTACTTTTCCATAAACTGATTTGACTACAGTCATTTCATTGTGTAATTTTGTTTTGTTAATTATATGTGTTTATTTATTTACCATTTTGATTTATGATAAGGCAAACAAAATATGTCATCAAAGTCTGTCTCTGCCAAACCCCAGCTAGGCAGGCTGTTCTTACAGTTAATGAGATCTAATATAGCCTAATGTACCTGTTAACTTCATCATTGTGTTTTATGATACTAGGCCATCAGTGTGCTAGTTTACAGTAAATGTTCTCATGCTGGTTGTAATATGTTATGGGTAGGTGATACAATACTCCTTTAAACTACTCATTTAATGGTTAATATAGCCAACTACAGCATGCTGATCTAGCTAGCATCATTACGAGTGGTCTTAAAGTAAACTAAATCATAGTGTTTGCATTTTAGAAGCATAATCTTTTAATTACTTTTCATAAACTCTCATGTTTGTATCATAGAGATATCTTTTGCAAACCTACAGTAGACCTGTACATCTCAAGAAGTCAGAAGCATAGCAGGTAGCGTAGCATCTCATGCAGAGGTAAACGTTGCAGGCAGTTCAGTCTATGGCCAAACTACAGCTGAGAACCAGGCACTGCTGATTGATTAGTTCCAACACTGTTTCCACACTGGATCTCATAAAGCCCTTCCAAAACTACAGAGGTCTAGAGGTCACGCTAGTTGCGGCCGTCCTGTCACTACAAACTTCATGGATTATCCGTAGTGAACTGAGCTTAAAAACATTTTCTCAACATCATTACATTAAAGTACATGTTAGACAGATAAACAGGCCTGTTTTTGGTTGTTATGATAGCAAGTCTGCACTCGTTAGGCTATCTATGCTGTAAACCTCTGGTAAATGATTATTGGCTATCTGATATTAGCTGTATTTTTGAGCAACATACAGTAAACGTCCATAATCTGTATGTCTTTATCAATACTAACACAACCACTGAGTCATAACTTACTATAGAATTATATTAGACCTACATACAGCATGTGTGAAAGGCTTTAACTGTTTTTTCCTTTTGTTCTAAGCAGTTTAGGAATGTTATGTTGGGATGGGAATACAGAAATAGAAACATTAAAATGTTTCCTCTGCTCGGAGCTAACCTATTCGTTTTTTATTCCATTTCTGAGCACTGATTGTTCCTGGCATGCACAAAACATGCTCTTAAGCTTCCGTACGAATCCGACATCCGCACAATGTACACAAACCATATCCTCAACTGTATTTTAGGGTCGCTGCAAAGTTAAAGTTTTGAGGACAGTGGAGGGTAATAGGGTGTGACAGACAGAGCCCAGCGCAGCGTCCAGCACTGCAGCTAATGGAGCTCTGCAAAGTCTCGCCCATTAAACATTCATAAAGGCTACGCTACACACACTGCACGCACACGCAATGCTCTCTCAACATCTCTCACGCGCTCCACAGCCCTCAGCACGCCGTTACGCAGATGTAAAGCTCGCCGGAGCTCTTTTTATGAGATGCTTTTCCATCTGCTCTGTTCACAGACAGTGTGCACGCTACAAATGACACTGAGTTTATCAGTGAAACAGCCTGCGTATAAAAGGTTGTTTGGGTTAAATGACAAAGCTGAGATTTTAAAGTTAGTCAAACTGGAATTTTTAACTGGAACCAGACAATGTTTGTACAGTGTTTGATCCCAGAGTACCTCTGGAGAACATATCAGCAGAGACCATTTAAGACACTGCACTACAATTACATTTCATTTTCTGGATGTTAATGTTTTAGACTGTTTTTTTCCCCTTTTAATTAATTAATTACATACACTGCAGTTATTTTTTATAATAATGGGTTATCTGGGTGATAATATTATGCAAAAGTCAGAGACCACCTTTTCATTTATTTTATTTCCAGTCCAAACAACCATTAAGTACAAGATATTCATTTCACAGCTTCAGGAAAAAAAAGCAGAAAACATATTTAACAATAACCAAATATATCACTTTTTCAGTGTTTTGTGTGTCCAATCAGTGCCTTTATTGCAGCTCGCATTCTTTTCGGGAGACTTGCTTTCAGTTTTACAAAGAAATCTGCAGGGGTATTTTTCTACACCTCCAAAGTTCAGTCTTAGAAGTTGGTTGAGTTTTCTGCTCCTCATGATCCCAAATTCAGACTAATTAGTCTGTAAAGCCTTGCTCCATACCTCCATGGTGTTCTAGTGCAAATGTTCTTTTTTGTCTCTTTCCTTTTCTCAGTAAGTGCTTCTTCCTAGCTACACACCCTTTCAGACTCATAGTGTTGAGTTGTCTTCTCACAGTGGAAGGATGGACAGAAATACCTGTGGATTTTTTCAGATTTGAAGCAACAGTGGAGCTTAATTTTCTCCTATTTAATATTGTACCTTTCTAATCTTGTATATCTAATCTTGTCAAAAATATCTTGTGAAAACTGAATAACTTTTACTTATTGAACATTTAGTTTAATAAGGGTGAATAAGGGTAAATGAAGGGTGGTCTCTGACTGTACATGTAGTACTGTACATGTATTTGTTACATTGGTTTTCTATATTTGCTCATTATAAATGTAATTTGCTGCTATGTGATCATATAATTTTGCAACTACACTTAAATAATATAGCAAACTGACATCATCACAACAAAATGTTATGTTAAATTCCTTATTCATCATTTTATATAAGCAGAAATGTTTCATCATGTAATGTTTGACCATCAAAGATGTTACAAGTGTTATAAATTCTGTATTTGCAGCCTGCAGAAGTATAAGTGATTCATTCATGTAATCATATTAACCTTGAGGTCACAGTCATTATGTAATGACTATACAATTAAATATTTAATTATCTAACTACGTTTGAACCATGTGGTAAGAGTACTGTAATGCCTCTCAGCTTCTAAGGATGAATATCTCTCACCACCTCTCCCCTCTGTTTTCCCCAGCCAATCGGAGCTCTTAACCCAAAGCGGGCAGTTTTCTATGCAGAGCGCTATGAATCGTGGGATGAGGAGACTCCGCCCTGCCACTACACCACTCACTACTCCACTGCAGCCTCCATCCTCCACTGGCTGGTCAGAATAGTAAGTCCTGCTTCAGCTCACCACGGCCTCAAAGCAAGTTCGACACATGCAGCTCCTTTGTTTACTTCCGGATCATCCAATCCATCAGGAAAACTAAACAAATGAAAAGGATCAGTAATGGATCTTTGGTATAATCACAATAATCTGCATGAGGTAGTACTATACAGATGGATGGTGTGCCGATCTACTCAGCTTTTAGCTTCATGTCTACAACCACAGCATAGTAGTGGCAGTATCTCAAGGTGTGGTTACCTTAAAAGTATTAATTAATGCTTATAACAGCATCCAAACCATGCTAATGCTTTACTCCAGCCAATATAAATGCTGTGGTTGGTAGTAAGGTCATCCCACTGGGCAGTAGCATTCCCTGTACATATTGCAATACCGGTATTCCAATGGGGAGGTACCAAAAATGACAGTGCAAGTCTCATATGATGATGTTGATCTTTAAGGGACCTGTTTTTAACTGTCATTCAAAACATATTGGGATTCATTTTCACCCCTTGGAATGCCACTATTTGCGAGTACCACAAAGAATTCCAGCATTCCAGCATCCAGCCGCTTCAATTCCCCTTGTACCATTTCAATAAACAACACCCAAGCCCTGTGACTGAGAACCACTTTGATAGTATATCACGCTGTATGTCAGCCGGGTCTTTCACAACAGAACATAAGTCAAATTCAACATCTCAATCGGGCCGGCTTTGGGTTCCACTCGAGAGGGCCGGCGAGGGGCTTTCACAGTCTAGTAAACTGGCATATGTGAGAACACTAAAGAGGGCAGCGTAATGATTTACACGCCAGCGCATGACAGCTTTATGTCTCTCAGACAGATGAGCAGAGAAACACACGTCCATCACAACCTCCCCTTACTGTCCTCACTCGACCTGGGTTTGACTGAGGGCTGCCCACACTGAACCGAGAACAGCTCTGTCTGGTTTTGTTTGATGGAGATTGTCCTACATCACCATGTGTAGATGATATTAGTATAAATCTCAGATGATCTGAAAGAAAATGAATGTCATAATGAACTTGCACGTTAAAGGGCCCATATCCTGCATTTGTCCATCCTACATTATGTCCAAGAAACAGTCATAATTAATTCTTGAAAAAAACACTTGAATTTCACATTTTAAACACCTTACATTTTTTTCAAACACATGTGAAAAACAGCTTGTTACATGTAAATGATCTCTGTTCTGATTGGCTGCCTTGTATTGTTTCTTATTGAAAAAACAGTCCAGGCTGAAACACAATCTTATAACTTCAGTATGAATGGGAGGGGCTAAACCGATATAGACTGAATGAGTGGATATTTATACATGATTTTTCATGATATCACAATAATGGTGAATTTAAAACAGACTGCAAATCTTGTATATATATGTATATATATATATATATATATATATATATATATACAGTTCCTATATGGACTGTATGAACTGGGAAGTTTATTAGCAGGTTTTAAAACTTTAACAATGCTACATCGAACTCTTTTATTCCATAAAAGTGAAGAAAAATTTTCATGAAAAATAAAATTGTTGGAATATTAAAGATAGTCTTCATTATTCTTGTATTTCATTGTTTTCCCTGAGGTCCACTTATTCATTTTTGCATTATTAGTTTCAAACCTCCCTTTATCTATTTATTAATCAGACTTTTTTAGTTACTGTGACTTTAAGACTGGTATATGTAAATGACCTCTATTCTGATAGGCTGCCTTGTATTGTTCCTTATTCAAAAAGCAATCCAGGCTGAAACATTCTTTCGTACTTCAGTATAAACTACAAAAATCTACATTTTATGAAAATTATGGAAAATTCAGGTTTATATGATGTGAACCCTTTATTTCATTTGTAAACTCTGTTTTAAATTATTTGCACCTTATTTTTATTTTATTTTAATATATTTCCAAATATTTTAAAGTGCGTGTAATTTATACATGAGATTTATGCCAGCCACATCTACAAATGGTGCCCATGTGAGGAAATACGACCAACATATTACAGATGTATTGATGAATTCATGAAATTTGTGCATATTATGCATTCCCATTTGAATTTAGAGCTCAGATCAGCTGTAACCCTTGAGCAAAAAGACTTTTTTTCTGTAGGTCAATCTTATTATAGAAGAATGACAGAGTTTAACAATCAATACAGCGTGATTTTGCTAAATTAAATGCTTTTACAATCAAATAAGCTCTCTTTATTTAATTTCATTCGTATTCCAAATTAAAAACTTTTGTAATTGCCTTTTCTCTGCCAGTAGACAGTTTGGGGTTGATGATGATTTGGAAAAGGGTTGCTGTGACAGCTCCTAAGTCGGGCTTGAGTGAGATTGTAGACACCATCATCTCTCCCTCGCTGGCTCTTCCTGCCTCTCCATGTCACTCCAGCCCGGGATGATGATGGCGAATATGAGCCAATTAGAGCCGGAGCTCTGCTCCTCAACCAACAGGCCACATCCAGTAATTAATTCTGCCTCAGGCACTGCTAGCATAAATGAGAAGGGAAGGGGGAAAAAAGCCTCCACTAACTCTCCATAATCTGACAGATGTGTCCTCCACATTGAGATGTTTATGCAAACGGAACATTTCCTCGAGCTTCCTGGAGCGCTCAATCATGTGATCGCGTCAAATTACCATAGAAATGAATTTGGATTTCACTTTGCAGATGTTTATGTTGCAGAATAATATTAGTTCCTTTGAAAACGAATGCAGATTTGTCAAAACAAGTGGTTAATTATCAGTCAAACTTGGCAAACGGATCACGTGGCATGTCGGCGAAGTGTGGTTGAGCTCTACACTCTAGACTCTGCTGCTCTGTTCGGCTTTATGGTTTTGGTGTATGGAATAAACACCAGTTGATAATGCAGTGTGTGACAGTCTCTGTGTGTCTGTTTGAATGCAGGAGCCCTTTACCACCTGCTTTCTCAGCACCAATGGCAACAAGTTTGATCACGCCAACCATACCTTCTCTGGTATCACACGCTCGTGGAGGCACTGCCAGCGGGACACCTCAGATGTGAAGGTAAGACATGGCACCCTAGTAAACATGCTATTATCTGAAACTGCGTGAAATGTAACAAGTAACAAATAGCTTACAAGTAAATGAAGCTTAAACACACATATAGTTACTGTCTTCAATCACCACACGCCTCAGACCATGTGAAGTTGTGTAGTAATCTCTTAAATAGACTTGCCTATGTGGTTTCTGACACTGTATGAATGCTATTTTTATATTAAAATGAATAAGCAGAAGCTTTTTTATAAAACAGAAAGTTCTGGTCCTAAAATCTGTTTAGTTGAGATGTGTTTCCAAGCCATTAAACACACTGTATGCACACCTATGACTGTCTCACAGTAAGAATTGTGTAGCTAATGCACTGTTATGTTGCTTATATGGACCACTGAGCATGTTGGTAGATGGGAACAGGAATCAATGTGTATATGAAGTAAATGGCCCAAAGCAGTACTAAACATACTTTGTTTAACTTTTTATCTTAATAACCAGAATGAGGTTGATCAACTCTGTAGACAGCTAACAGGCTCCTCTCCTCATATTCATTCTTAAGTTTCAAATTAAAGTATTTACCGAAAGAACCATTGTAAAACTGCAATAAAGTATGTTTAGCTTGAAATGTCCATAGTTTTTGGTGGATCTGCAGAAAGCAGTAGAAACCCTGTATCGAAAATCTATCATGTGGTACTGTATGCTAACATAACACTGGAGATCACGTAGAGTCACTAGCAGAAATTGTCATCATTGCTGCAATGGTAATTTGATATGAAAAAGCTTCTTATGAGGTGAAGATTTCTGCATTGAACATTGTTATATCATGATATATCATATGTATAATAAAATAATTAGATGACAAAATTTGAAAAGTGAATGGAATAACTGCAGCCTGCAATGTAATGTACTGAAGGGTAACTAAAAAATGTCTTAGTGGTCCATGGTTGCTTGGCAATGTTAGCCTGCTGTTAAATATTTTTGCTGGAACCCATACAGGAAAAAAACACTTGAATTTCACATTTTAAACACCTTACATTTTTTTCAAGCACATGTGAAAAACAGCTTGTTACGTGTAAAAAATAAAAAAGTGATCACATATTAGAATATGATCATCTGAAAACCATAATCACATATTATTCCCATGATGTTACCTATGTCTGCTTGCCATCATGTGGTTTTTAGACATCTCACACACACACAAAAATATGGGTTTTTTCTGTAAGGGAAGAATTGTTCAATGCAGGTAGTATTAATGATAATTTGATAATTCATTGAATATTTGTTTATTTTATTACATTTTCTGTCGCTATTTCATTAAAGCAATAAATACCTTTTAGTGGTTTTCCCATAGGTAAGGGTTTATTGGCACTCACAGTATCCAAGACATTCACCTATTAACACCCCTCAGCCATGATAAAATCACCTTAATGCACGGTCTCTCTCGGCTTATTGCTTTTACTTTGTTGGTTACTCTAGAGTTGCAGCTCCTGTTCAGATTTCAAAATGTAAACTTTAGAAACATTTCTTTGCTGAACTATTCCTGCGATAACTCATAAATTGTTTCAGATGTTTTAGAGCTGGGAAAGCACTAAAATGATCAGGGAAGTCTTGACCAGGATTGAGAAACACAAGCAACTAATAGAAAGCTTTGAAACACAATTCTTATTTAAATACCTTGACAGCAAACCTCATTAGCTGCAGTGACATATCATTCTCTTTCTAAACTATTAATGCTCATTTACTATGAAACAATACTCGACTATATAACACTCAACTTTTTGTGACTTCAATTAAAGCCTCATTTCATTCTGAGAGCTTTCAAAAGAAAAGCACAATGAAAACCATGCTAAAGCAGCCCTTTAGAAGAAGCTCCTCCACCAAAGCATCACAGACAGAGCTGCAGCCACAGTGGCTAAGTCACAGCTCCTCTCCGCTCGGCGACACACAGCAGGGCATGCTCACGCTGACCTAAAAGTGTCAGACTTTTCCAGCACACCCCGCGTCGGGTTAGCTTCGCCGCAGGCAATTAATAAAGCATTAATGACAAAAGCTATTTAAAATGTAGTCTTTCATGTAAAGGCAGGGCTTTCTACTTCCCAAGGCTGGGGGACAGCGGGCTACGACGCAAGTTACAGGCCAGACGCGTGCTCTGGCAGCAAGCTAGCCTGGTGAAACATCGGCTATGTTAACAAATACAGCCTTCGTCCAGCCACTCGTGTGTCTGCATGGATATGATTTTACAGAGCGGAAATGGCCACAGATATATTAGGACACAAATAGAGATTGTCCTGTGTGCACTGTTGTTAGAGCAAGGTAGCCATTTCCATAATGTATGCAGTAAGACTTTTATTCAGCAAAAAAGCTTGTATTGTTGTACTTTTTGGGTAATGTTGGTAATTTGAACAATATTTTATATTTGAGGCCTCTCTTGTCTAATGGAATATGACTGTTATACCATACTGAGCCAGAAAGGAGGCCAAAAAGTTTGGAAGCAGTAGAAATTTTGTAAAAAAATAAACATGAGACATTTATTTTTTTAAAGCAGACAGTAATATGTTTATTAAAGTAGAACTGGGTTCGACCTAACATCTTCAACAATGGTGTACAAGTAACTGATTCTTAGTTACTCTTGCTCTTGGTGTTTATCTTGCAGTCCTGTTTTTATCATATCCACCTAATTCCTCCATTCAGACGCTTCTGAACACTGAATCGGTTATGCTGCATTAGGAGAGTTATGTTACAGTGTTGGAAGATCACAAGTTTGTTCCTTGGTGAACTCATAGCCAACCATGGCTGAGAGTCCTAGAGAGCATAATTGACATTTTACAAAATTCTAGAAGTCCTGTGTCCTTCAGTTACTGTTGATATCTCTGTCAAACTTTCAGCTCAGGCCACCTAGTATTACTAAAATCTTTGGTAACCCAAACGAAAACTTAGAAGCAAAGAGTACCTTTAAAAACATGTTATTCAAAAATAAGCTAGCAAATCAAGGACATCCAGTCACTGCATGTTAAAATGAAAGATTTCCATATCTAATAAAGAGGAGTGACTGAAGCTGTCCCTTTAGATGAGATAATTCCAAAGCTAACCATAAATCTTATCATATTAACATTGTACTGTAATGTTATTTATCATTAGCCTCTATGTTAAAATGAGTGTTATAAAACGGATAGTTCCGGTCTTAAAATCTGATCGGCTGAGCTGCGTTTGAAGCCGTTGTAAAATCTACGATATATGCACACCTATGACCACCTGACAGCAACTGAATTATATACTACTGGCTATATATTATATACTACCTTTTGTGATGTTAATGGAATAGTCTTTGACACTCATGCTGCTTGCATGGACCACCGAGTGTACTGATAAAGTAAGAACCTGTTTTTTGTTCAAACTGAGGGGCTGGAGACTTATGTTCTTAACTAGAACTGGACTGGTCAGCTAGCTAACAGGCTGAAAGATAGCAAACCTGCTAAACAACTCCATCATTAATATCACAGGCTTGAATTAAAGTAGTTGGGGTATAATTAACTAAAACTAAAAATGTCACTTGAATGGATTACATGCTTCAGATGTTCGTGTGACAGTCAGATGTAGCATCAAACCCAAGCTGAATCCCAAACGGCTCCATATTCTCTAAAAAAGTCCGAAATGACTATTTCTTAGCTGTATTTTGCACCGTTGGGCTGCAGGATCCAGTATTTAAATCCCTACGTAGTGCACTATGTAGGAAGCAGAAAGACATTTGAGATTTATCCCCAGCATAAGAAGAGTGGTGCCACTGGATTTGTGCTGATTAAGGCTTGCGGTGGTAATTTGGTGATGAAAAAGTAATTATAAAAAGAAAGTTTTTGCATTAAAAAGTGCTGTGTTATCATATGTTCATCATTATCTGACAAAAAGTTAATATATTCATGAAATAACCACAGTATACAGAGATGGGCGACCGAACGCTCTTCTCATTTGCAGTCCATGGTTGCTTGGCAATGATAGCATACTCTAAAGGAACTACATTTCTTGGTGGAATACTTGTTTATGTCAATTATTATTAATAACAACTTTTCTGAAAAATTCATCATTTATGTCTGCTTCATGTTGTGCCTAAGAACACCCTTCCCGTTATAAAATCACAGTAATGCACAGCATCTCATGGCTTATTGCTTTATTAGTAAATACAGCAAGCTAGATCCCCTTTAGCTTACCTTTTAGAGCATAGCTCAGAAATGAAAGCATCAGGAACAACGTTAAGGCAAAACCACCCTCCAGATGATAAAGTTAACAGGTACATTGCATGTTTCTCAGTAACACTTCTCCACCACCTCTTAGTCTAAAAAGTCTGACTAATTTGCTGCCACTGCTGTTCTCGCTGCAGGTTTGTTATGGAAAAGTTTTGTCTGAGCTTATTCTTTGCTTGTTAGAGAAAGTAGAGCATAGAAGGCTTAGAGGAATGTCAATAATAATTTTGGAAACAGTCAGATGGCCCCACTGTCTCTGGGTGGGTAGGATGGCCCTCCCCCTCCCCCTCATCAACCAGCATGAGGCTATGCCAATGAGGGTGTCTGTTAGCTGACGTAACATAATTGGCTATTACTGTCCTCCACCCGTGTTGAACTGTCCGATGACGTTGCAATAGTGGCTGTTCGGAAGAAGTGGACAGTGTGAAGGCCTTTCCATATAATGCACTAGTATAAGAGTACAAAACTGAAAACCATTTGAATATTTTGGGAAAAAATAAATATATGTTGTGTTCATTTTGACAAATTGGCTTAATAAAACATTTATGTTGGTGCAGGACCCACCTACTCTCTTAAAAATAGCAGCTCATGAGTGGTTCTTACTTGAATGTGTTTTTCTTTTAAAAATCTTTAACATTATTTGAATATTTAAAATGGTTTTAAAATGTACTTCACACTCACATTCATTGTTCTTCACATTCATTATCTCTTTCTTTAAAGCCAGAAAAGTTATCCAGGGAACAGAAGTGGTTCTCCTAGTATTGCTCCAAAGAACCCTTTTTGGTACCTTCTAACAGTGAACCACAGGTCCCAGGAAGCTTTGCCTTATGCTTGATACTTAGTCAAATCGGTATGATTAAAAGGAAGCCCATGTCAGCCCCCTGTCCACCCCACTTCTCAATTTTCTTCATTACTCCAGTCCACCAGTAATGACTACAAGCTGTCAGAGAAAGCTGGGTTAACAGGGGTGACCCCCTAAAAGAGCAGGTCAGTGGGAACTGACCCAGTGCCACACAGTATGGCTTTGTCTCTAAAGGAGTCATGTCCAGCTCTGGTCCTGTTTAGTGATTTTCCTGCTCAGACTCACCCGATTCAATTCAATAGTTACTTACAAAGTTTAATATTTAAGACAAAGCACCCTTCGATTACAGTGAACTAGTAATTTTCTTAATTTGTCACAATAAAAAGTCACAGGATGCACATTGGTTAGTGAAACCAAGAGTCAAAAAATAATAAAATACTGATTATATTAATATTACTTATTTTTATTGTAATATTTTTTATTTGTTTTGAGTAGTAGATGTGTTGGAGCAGGGATAGTATGCTGGAGTCTGATGCTCTAAGGCCAGAGCTGGACATCTAAAGCCTGAATCATATCTCTGTCCACTGCATTATCACACACCAGCAACATGCTCTGAGCCAATAAGTGAATGGTCAATGCTATAGCATCAACTACCCTGTCCATCTGCCATTAGCTTAGCACACAAGCACAACAGAAAGAGAGAGAGAGTGAAAGAGAGGGTGAGAGAGAGAGAGAGAGAGAGAGAGAGAGAGAGAAAGTATTTTGCCCTGGAACCTTCCACCGTTTCCCAATAATCTCCTCCAAAAACTGGCTCTGTCTAAAGGTGTGCAGTGTTGGTGACAGCTGCAGATGCGGCCGTCATTAGGCCGAGTGGTGTACAGCTGTGGCGGCGGCGGTGTGATTGACTTGTCAGCCCATTATGAGGCTGTAGCAGAATTAATGGCTGCCGCTGGAGGTGGCCAGAGGAAGCGCTGGCAGTCAGAAACAGCTCAGAGAATAGCTACTGCTAGCCTGCCTCCAAAACCAAAACGTCCAGCAAGGAGATCCACAGAACGCTCTGTCCATCTTCAGCTCAGGTCCTCTAGGTGAAGTCTGAGGAACTCGAGCTGCCACAGCAGTGGCTTTTTAAATCACAGATTTGTGTCATTGTGCTTGTGCTGAACCTTCAGAGCAGATGGCAACTATTAGCATCCACTGCAGTGTTTTTTTTTTAGAACTGTTATGGAGGACAACTGAGGAGTTTTCACTGAATTTCAGCTGTTTTTCAACCTTCAGAAGTTGAGAGTTTTTACTGTCATTTTACTGTACTTTTTAAATGTAGCTGTATAATTATACAAGTAATTACATAAGTAATTACACAAGTAACTAGAAAAGTAACTAGACTGTGCAATATAAGAAATTCCTAGATGGTTGCCTGGTTGTTGCTAGATGGTTACAATGGTATTTTAGGTGTTTTATAGGTAGGTGGTTTTAGGTGGTTAAGGCTAAGCAGTTAGTGTGGTATCCCAGGTGGTTGTTTGGAAATTGTGGTTGTCATGGTCACCAATAGGGTGTTGCTAGGTGGCTGCTAGGGTATCCAAGGCGGTTGCTAGGGTATTGCCAGAAGGTTGCTATGGTGTTTCAGGTGGTTTTTAAGGTGTTGCTAGGTACGTGTGGGTGCTACAGTGTCTCTGGTCGTTGCTAGGATGTTGCTGTGTGTTGCTATGATATCTCTAGTGCTTGCAAGGTGCCTGCTATGGTATCCATGGTGGTTGCTAGGATATTGCTAGAAGGTTGCTATGGTATTCCAGGTGGTTTTTCAGGGTGTT